TGCCTTTTCAGATTACCTGTGATCGAGCTTTAGTTTCGAATGCCGTCCACAGGAAAGACAAGACAGCGTTTTAGCGCCAACGTGACAGCGACGCGGATGCTTTGGCGCCGACGGTAATACAACTGCAGCTGTCCGGACAGTTCGCATGCTTACACTAGCGCACCAGTGCCGCTGAAACTGTCCGGGATGTTGCCCGGTGCTGTTGTAGCTGTCCACGGCGCTGACGGGGCGCGGTCTCGGGCCGACCGACGGAGCCGGTCACTGGCAGCCGGTGCCTGTGACCGGCCTCCTGACCTCAGGTGATCGGGTGCCTGATCAGGCACCTGACCAGCCTGACACCGGCTGGTCAGGTGCCAGGCCTGATCAGGTGTCATCTGGCCGGGTACCGACCAGCCGGTACCAGGCCGGTCTCTGGACGAGGTCGCTGCCCAGCAGCACGCGCCGCCTCTGCCCAGCACGAGCTGGATCAGCTGGTGGTCTCTACGCCGGGAAAGGGTATATTTAAGCGCGCGACAAGGGGCTAACGCCTCCACACACAGGAGCTGGGTCGGGGTGCGGGGGCACACTTTTGAAACGGAGCACCGAGTACGCAAGCCATCTTTCTCAAACCTTGTATGGATTTTCAAGCCCGTCCCCCTCCCTCAAGTCCGACCACCACCGCCCCCATCCTCGGTTACGTCTCGGCCCTGATAAGCACCAGGCTGGACAAACACGGCGAGCCTCTGAGTTGGACGGATTTCCCGAGGCGAGGATGGCTCACCAGGCCAGTCATCGGACGCTGCACCACTCAGCTGACGTCAGGCCAGTCAGCTGACGACAGACGCGTCAAATGACGTCAGATCGGCTTTAACATGGCGTCCTCGAAGTCAGGACGGTCAGAGGACCTCTGCGGACCAGCGAGGGGACGGGGTCAGGTGCCGCAACCGTTGAATAAGGCAGAATTGGGCAACCGCTCAGGCAACAACGAACGGTTAAAACCCGTCGATCAATTGTATGCACCCTCGGCGCCACAGCAGTGCAGAACTGCTGCCAGATGGTTTCGGCCCCCTGCAGAGAAGTCGTGCGCCGGACGTTTGGCTGATTGACTGTGTTCAGTACTGGCTGAGACAGGCCAGGCCTTGTTCGATGCCTGCTGACTGACGGTATATGCAGGCTCTTGTTTGATACCTGCTGATTGGCGGTATATGCAAGTCCTCGGCAGTGCGCAGCGACAAGGCAGAGCATAATTCCTTGCTGCTGGATAAGCTGAGGCCAGAGGCGCACGCAGTGCTTCACAATGGAAGATGACTTAAAACTGGAAACTGAATGAATCGCCCTAGAGGCACCTTGCAATTTGTTCCACGTCGTAAAACGACGTTGCATGTTTTCATTTTTCACGTGTCTACTTGTAATTTCTAGGAGTTAATATTCACTTACGCACATACTAAAACCTTCCATAAATTTGGTGAGGGCGGCACTCCAGGGAGACCATGTGCGTAAGCTCCCGACTGAGACTTCATTCTGGGTCAGGTTAAATGAACTTCTGCATCGTTGTTTATTTACTTGCGTCAAAGGCTCTAACGGAAACAGAAAAGAAAACAAAAGTCAACATTTCAAAAGCTCCGTTGATTCCGGAAGTTTTTGAGACGACTTGCACCTGAACACTGACCGCTGTCCACGTTCGGCTGCGTTCTCGCCGGTGCATCGACCTTCAAGCGCTTCTCAGCATGCCGACTTCCAGGTGGCCTTCAAATGGCTGAAGGAATTGATAAGCGCATCGATAAGACCTCAGTGCATGTTTTATGCATTTCGCTTCACCGGAGATGACTGGTGGTTGGACACCAGCACCGGTTCGCTGTGGTTGGGCTTTTTGCAGACTCACGTGGTTACCTCCTCAATCACTCACTGTCATCTGAAATCTTCCCTTTCCTTGCAGTCTGACATCCATTTGAAAAGGCCTCATTCGGCGCACGCTTCAGTACAGGGATATTTATGTTACTGTCTCTTGGCAAAATCCTGTCATGCCGCATGAAATCTGCATACACTTGACGCCACACAGCATTTTCATTAAATAAGGCATTCAAGACATGAGGCATTAAATAAAGGCATTCACCGAAAACTGCCCGCCTTCCATCTTGATACGATAATTTGCATTCCATTTTATGCCGAAATGACTGCTCCCAGAGCCCGCAGACCAACGCAACCGTAACGTGGTAGCATTTAGGGCCGCACGGATCCCTCAGTCGTCTGGAAGGCTTCCCTGTGCTGCAGAAGAAGCTGGTCCCGCTGGCGAAGTCGGCGCCGCCGCGCTCTGCGGAAGTGACTGTGCAGTGTGCACTCTGCGCTGTGCACGCCGAGCGAGACGGCCGCCGCCATCTCCCATGCATTATTCAGCAATGGTGATCAGTCATTCCTCGTTTGCATGACGCCGAGCATGGCGCGAGCATGGGTGTGACCAATGACGATAAAGGAGCGCGACCTAGGCTCCCGGCGGGACATTCGCTCCACGTCAGAGCTCAAGCCCCCCCATCCTCCAATGTTTGCTCCCAGCTCTCTCCGCTCAATGTGGGGCAATAAACGCATAGCAACTGGCTGAAAGGTGTCAAAAAATAGCCCAAACCTTTGTTGGTACAGCTTTGCCATGGAGCCCTGAAGGTGAGCCATTAGCGGAAATTGGCGATGGGGGCTCATGCGATTTTTTTCCAGGTGTCTTCGTATTCAGAGCCACAAAGTGAACTGCAAATGCCCGGAGGTGACAAGTACCTGCCCACTCTCCTCCCACGTCTGTCGCCCGGCCCCGAATCAAAGTATGGCGCCATGTTCCCGGGGTGATGTTCACACTGTGCAGCAAATCGCTTCGCTATGACGCGCACCGTGTCGTGTCGTCTCCCGCCTCATTCTTGCGTTGTCTTCCGCTCCAGCAGGCCGCTTGGACCTGAGAGGGAAGCCGACTGCCCACGGGGCCTATCCCAGCACCTTCTTCCTTTCAGCGAAACCCATCCACAGAGGCGGCTGCAGGCGGGCACCAGCAACTGAACTCACGTGATCCCGACAACAACAACCAGGGATGGGGGATCTTCATGACTTCAAATCTCCCTCAAAGAGCTGAAAAGCTCCACCCTTACTACTCCTCGTACTCGCATCAAAGCTGATCCCGTCACTTAAAACGCTCGTCGGCACGTGCTCAGGTCTGGCGAC